ATGAATTTAGTAGTAGCTGGGGGTTTTAGGCCTGAAAAAGACCTATGTTGTAATTCTCATGATGTTATGCCAAATAAAACTCATAAATAAGCAAAAATGTAAGGTATAATTATGGTATTTTAAAATAATTGTGGTAAACCACTGTAAAGATTGGTGAGGCAGCCTGTATTAAGAAATTACATTGTTCAGTACTTATACAAATGCCTTGTTTGCGCAAACCCTTATAGTTTTATAAATGTAAAACAGTGCAGTTTTAAACAAAATGTGCTGGAAAAAGCTGAAATATTACGTTGAAGGCGCACAGAAGCAGTGCGAGCGAGCTGCTGGAATGTCTCGCTCGTTTCAGTTCTTAACACCCGCCCCTTCGGAGCGCGCATGCGCACAACCAGCGCATCTTTCACCTTTACGAAAAAGTAGCGAGCTGCGAAACATGGCTTGTATTTTCTGACCAACCGAAGCTAAACTATCAAATGATGCACTCCGTCACGCGATGCTCAAAAGCAGCTTTTGCGTACACCTCCAATAACAGTTAAACTAAACAGGCGGAGTGCTTTAAGAACATTATAGTTGTGTGTGTATCTGTCACTTAGATGTGAGTTGTGAGAAGCATACAGAGAAACGGATAACTGATTGAGAATCAGCCTCCACAAACCGCCATGTTGTGGATTGTGGCTCATATCCACAGACACACTTGCCGAAGTTGTTAAACACACTCGCGGTGGCTGAAAACATTCAAACACACACAATCAACCTGTAGCATTTAAATATGGCAGTGGGAAGAATAATCGTAGAGTGAAAATCCTACTGCAGCACTAATCTGGTTTGAATTCAAAGGTGTTACACATGTAGCGATGGTGAAATAACAGAAGTAACGTTGCAATCACATGCTCAAAGTTCAGCCTGAGAGAGTTTTACATGACCATCGGTATACTTTAGAAATTAGTCTATATCAGCTCGCCCCCTTTCTGTTCGGATTTCTTTCCTTTTGCATGTAGATCCATATTTAAGCAAGTGCATATAGCAGCTAGCCGAAGCTTTCGTAGTCTCTTTCCTTTGCATGATAGAGGGGGCAGTAATGATGATGCCCTCTTCCCTACATATAGCATTTCTGAAGACCCCGTGTTTTACTGGCCTGCGCAAAATTCCCCTCAAATGCAATTTGTCAATATTTACCAGTTATGGCTGTGAACTGTTGTATTAACCCATTAACCCCCGGGGCTGATGCGTCTCCGAGAGTCGCCATCTTGCCGCCACTGACAACAACACGACTGCACGCATGCACGACATCGACCAATGGGATCTCTTTCTACGTCTGCCTCCGCGCGTCAACACCCTGGAACTCTGGGTAATGTAGTTCAATCGTAGCATCGTGGACGAGGTGCCGATGTGTGCTGAATAAACGCCTTACGTTAGTACAATTACAATTACAATTAGTTACGTGCCTAACTTTAGTACAACTTTATTTTAGCAAGGATATTTTGATTTGTAATTCATTTTTGTCAAAATACGGGTGCTTGTGATAAATACTGTAAGCCAGTGGTTCCCAAACAGGGGGGCGCGGGGTGGCTGAGGGATAGTGTACAGTCAGCAGATTATTTTGCAAAAGAAACCTCTGCAGGGTAATAAAGACTACACTGCGTAATTTTCCCACTTATCATGCGGCCACTTGCCTGATAAGTAAATAATTGAACGCAAAGTATTAATTTGAAATATAATAATTACCTTAACATGACTGGCATTACCCGCTTGAGCGCTCCGTTATCAGTTGTAGCAGTTGTGGTTGTATCAATAACAGACCACTAGATGGCGCGATTGAAGAATCAGAGTTGTATTGCAGGGAGCCATGTAGAAATATAAATGAACGATGCATGGTTCTGCTCTAAGTATGTAAGTTACAAGTTTGTGAAAGGACTTGTGCCAGATAAATGTAAAGCAGATTATATAGCCTACTTAAGATTCACAAATACCAAAACAACGTGTCTACACCAGAAGCAACAAAAGCAAATATAACCCAGTGATGTTCTCTGCTGTGGATGCGGCGCGAGGCGACAAAAGAAATAAGAATAAAAAATAAATTATTTCTGACGAACTCCAGCGCTCTGACACAAAGGACAATTTCAAATATTCATAATAGAATCGTGGAAAGAAATCGTTTCCTCAAAAATATTAAACAGCACAATTGTTTTCAGCATTAAAATAATCAGAAATGGTTACCAGCATATTAAAATGATTTCTGAAGGATCATGTGACACTGAAGACTGGAGTAATGATGCTGAAAATTCATCTTTCATCGTACGAATACAGTAGCCTATATGTTAAAACATTCAGATAGATATTTTAAATTGACAATATTTCAGTGTTTACTGTATTTTTAATAAATAAATGTAGCCTTGGTGAGCATAAGAGACTTTCCAAAAAAAAAAAAAAGAAGATATTGAAAATATTTTTCTCTACAAAAGGGGAGCCCAAAGTTTGGGAACCACTTCTGTAAGCAATGGTGCTAATACCACCGTTTCCATCAAGAGAGACAGTTTTGTGACACCCCATCACAAATCCAGACTTTTATAAAACGGGGTCAGTTTCAAGAAGACATGATGTTTTGAAAATAATAAGACTATAATTATTCAAATGTAGATTATGTAAATATGAAAGTAATAATCATAACACCAGTCTAATAAAGTGTGACACAAGAAATTGTCAGAAATTTTGCAAAATGTATCAAATTAATTCTTATTACATTAATAAGAAAGAATGAACGCACCTTTCAGATCAATCAACACCTGCAATGAAAGTAATCCAAACTAAATCCCCTTTCATCCATTGTTCTAACACCGCAGACATAAATCTGTTCTTAAAATATAATAAAATATGTTTTTTTTTTAAATATTATCTACATTATTTGTGTTAAAAATGTTATATTGTTGCAGTTAGATCTCAGGATACCTCTTTGGATGGATGGTAGGATTTTGTTACACATGAAATCTCTTAAATTCAATTAATATGTATTTTTAACAGTTCGCAAATTGTTTCATGTTAAGAATACAAATATGCAAACATTTTATGATTTATTTCAACTGTTGCAAAGTAGAGGGACACTAAATACCACTTGTAGTCTTTGCTAGTTACTCTGTTGCAAAATTCATAATTCATAAATAATTAGACTACCAATCTAATGTAAATTTTGCATAGGCTACTAAAATGATTTAATATATGCATAAATGTAATACAAACCTAATTCATGGTAATATAGGCTAGAAATAGTAAATGGCAGCCTATTATATATATGTAAAATACTGTATATTGTGCTGTAATCATATTGGTATACTGAAAGAAATGATTATGCAAATGATTGCTGTTATATACCATCACGATTTAATGACAAATATATGTTTTATATTTACAGTCGTGGTCAGAATTATTGGCACCCTTGGTAAATATGATCAAAGAAGGCTGTGAAAATAAATCTGCATTGTTAATCATTTTGATCTTTTATAAAAATAAAAAAAAAATCACAAATATCTAACCTTTCATTGAACTAAAACTATTTAAAATGGGGGAAAATCTCATTATGGAATAAATGGCACCCTTGGTAAATATGATCAAAGGAGGCTGTGAAAATAAATCTGCATTGTTAATCATTTTGATCTTTTATAAAATAAAAAAAAATCACAAATATCTAACCTTTCATTGAACTAAAACTATTTAAAATGGGGGAAAATCTCATTATGGAATAAATGTTTTTCTCAAATACACGTTGGACACAACTATTGGCACCCCTAGAAATTCTTATGAGTAAAATATCTGTGAAGTATATATATTCCCATTCATATTCACAATTTTGAGCACTCCAGGGTGATTATGAACATGAAATTATCCAGCCATGGCTTCCTGTTTCACAGAAATATAAAGAAGAGGGAAAACAAAGCCCAAATTCCCTTAATCATCCATCACAATGAGAAAAACCAAAGAATATATTTCTGATGTGCGGTAAAAGCTAATTGAGCTTCACAAATTAGAAAGTGACTTTAAGAAAAGAGCTAGACTTCCCATTTCCACCATCAGGGCAATAATTAAGAATTTCCAATCAACATAAAATGTTACAAATCTGCCTGGAAGAGGACGTGTGTCTATAGCGTCCTAATGCACGGTGAGGAGGAGAGTTTGAGTGGCTAAAGACTCTCCAAGGACCACAGCTGGAGAACTGCAGAAAATAGTTGAGTCTCAGGGTCAGAAAACCTTAAAAAAATTATAATAATCAAACAGCACCTATATCACCACATGTTGTTTGGGAGGGTTTCAAGAGCCTTCTTTGATCATATTTACCAAGGGTGCCAATAATTCTGACCACGACTGTATATGTATTATATTTATATTTAAACATGACTCGTGACCTTCTTTATTCAGTGCATTTGATAGTGCTGCCGTTTTTATTAGAAGCTTATGTCGATCAATATCATTTACGAGATTCTTAAATTTATGAATACTCTTGTGAAAATATTGTTGATCCGAGACTGACAGAATCTGTCAATACATTCATGTGTTGAATGGAATATTCTTTAAAACATTTCGAACAGGATCTTGGCCTTTCCAATATTGCTGTATTTAGCAATGGCCACTAAAGCGCTGTCTGCTATTAATATTTATGTAAAATGAGTTGCATCGTGAAATCAGAGGTAACCTCTATGTCTTGAATGCAAAACAAACATCAGATGGGTGAGCATTGTTCAAATTCAGTTTATTTACTGTACATTCAATTCTGAAACAGTCAACCAAGCTTGTAAAACAAAGTGAAAATTTGAGCAAATTAAAAGCAATCCTATGCAGTTGTTCTTTAACCCTTTTAAAGGGACTGGGTTTATTCCAGGGCTGTCCAAACTCGGTCCTGGAGGGCTGGTGTCCTGCAGAGTTTAGCTCCAACTTGCCTCAACACACCTGACTGGAAGTTTCTATGCCTAGTAAGAGCTTGATTAGCTGGTTCAGGTGTGTTTTAATTAGGGTTGGAGCTAAACTCTGCAGGACACCGGCCCTCCAGGACCGAGTTTGGACAGCCCTGGTTTATTCCATAAAGAATCAGCTGAGAGTGAAACCCCTCAGACCCCCTCCCCTCTCCTCAAATGGGAGTGGCCAAACACAGTCACCACACTGTGGCCTCTTCCATTCACCTAGTATTGGGGGAGGAGACCATACATTAACATGAGGTGTCTCTGTGTGAATATTTTGAGTGCATGTGATATTTAATATTTCCAAAAAAAAAGTCTAATTACAAAAAAATACTAATCACCTGATATCGCCTAAAATGACTTGATTGTGGCATAACCTTAGTTTTAAAATGGAATGAATCCCTTTTAATATATTCAGTATTTCTGAAGAATGAACAATATGAATCATGTCACATTTCAACCAGCCAAAATGTTAACATACTGATACAACCAGAAACAGAACTGATATGCGAATTGAATTCATAAGAGCATAACACTCAAAGAAATAGTCCCTGATCACATCAAAGAAGAAGAATATCCTCATAGCCATCTTCAGTCTCTGAATGCAATGTGAACTCTGACCTTTTTACCACCTCATATAGTAAATAAGACCTCAATGCCTAATGTAAATCATACATGGCGGAAATGTCTGATTTTAAAATTACCTACATGGATGGAGGGAGAGAGAAGGGATAACCACGATGCTATGATTTCCTTACCAAAATGCTAAGGGCAGTAAGATTTAGCGCTGATATAATTTCAGAGCAACAGGCATTGGCTCCTTTGAGTTCAGACTAATCATGTCCTAAACTGAAAATAAATGAACAAGCAATTCACACTATAGCATAAGTCAGAGCATAGGTATACAGTCTCTGTGCGAGTAAAAGGTGCCAGCACATGGAATGGCAACACTGGGAGTGTGAGATTCTTCTTTTTTGTTGTTAAAAAGTAAATAAAAGAGATAAATAGGGCAGACACCAGACGGTGTCTATGAGGGAAATATGGTAGTGGTGTGTTTATAATATGCTGTGGATGGTTTGGGTGAGGGAGGGCACAATGAGGTGGATGATCAGAAACGGATGAAGGTGGCATCAATCTGCCTGACATTGGGAAGAGCCAACATGATCTTGCGTCTGTACTGAGGGTCCTTCTGCAGAGGGTTTCTCTCCAGATAGACAGTCTCTAGACCTTTGGCGTTCTTGAGTTCGTCCAAGTCTGCCCAGTTATCAATTTGGTTGTCGTTCATCTGTATAAGGAACACACAAAAAAAACACACATTAGCTAACAATTTTTCTATTTTTTAGATATTAAAGTAAAATATAAGCATTCTAAATTGATACTCTGAAGTACAATTTTGACATACACTACCATTCAAAAGTTTGGGGTTGGTAAGATTTATTTATGTTTAAAGAAATAATACTTTTATTCAGCAAAGATGCATTAAACTGATCAAAAGTGACGGTAAAATACATTTATACTAATATTACAAAAGATTTTATTTTGTTTATTTTCTGTTTCTAATAAATAAGTTTTTTTTTTTTACTTTTTATTCATCAAAGAATCCTTTTACCGTTTCTACAAAAACATTAAGCAGCACAACTGCTTTCAGCACTGAATCATCATTCAAAATAAACTCAAGCCATGCATTTCTAATGATCAGATCTTTGGGAAGGCTATGCAAAGTTTTGGAAGTGCATTTTCTTTATATCCACTGACATAATGTCCGAATTTGACAGTCTTACTTGACATCTTTATCCAACAGCAGTATCGCTCTCTTGTGATTGATGGCCAGACATGATTTTTTCAGATCACACCTCCTTGATTTTATATGACGATGATGCATTTAAAGAGGCGTGTCGAGATGAATAGTGATGTCACATTTCTCCCGATTTCAAATCCGAACTTCAGAAGGGTAGAAAAGAATTATTCATATAATTAAAACTGCTGATTTCTCAAACTTGCGGTATGTTTTAATTTTGTAGAGTAACCTCTTATACGTGTAAATATTAGGAACATTTTGATTCTCCACTTAATGACTCCTTTAAAATAGAAAACAGTTATTTAAAATAGTAATAATATTTCATAATATTACTGTTTTTAACTGTATTTTTGATCAAATAAATGCAGCCTTGGTGAGCATAAGAGACTTATAAGATCATTAAAAAAATCTTACAGACCCCAAACTTTTGAATGGTTTTTCAAATGTACATGTAGTGTGCCATAAAATATACAGTAAACCTGTCTTTTTTTTTTTCTTACCCAAAATTCTTTTAATTCAGTCAAATGGCTGATATTTTCAATCTTTTTTATCCTGTTTGCAGCGATATCCAAAGTTGTCAGCTTTTTCTAAAAAAAGAAAAGGAAAGAAAAATGAAAGCTATGTATATTCTAGCACTAAAATACTCTGGGGCGGATAAAAATAAAACCACTGATGTGTCGGCAGATCAGAACACACAGAAATCCCCTGTGGAGTAAAGGTGCAGTCGGAGAACTTCAGAATGGCTGGAGAAACGTGAATATTAAGCACAAAACTACTTGATACTAGACCGTTTCTAGTTAGACAGCTTCTTAACATGCATTTTATGGTGGTTTCTTTATCTTGCAATTTGCTACAGATATTTAACATGATTGTAAACCAATGCTAAGCCACAAATATTTTGTGCAAACATCTTGTGCATAAATTTAGAATTGATAGGAAAAAGTATCGCATCTGTGGGCAACCATGGTAGATCTTACATTGTTCTCCAGGCCCTCAATGACTTCAATGCCATTATGACTCAAGTAAAGCTCTCGCAGACTGACAAGATTCTGGAGTCCCTCCAACTTCGTGATGCGGTTACTCTGTTAGACAGGAACAGGTGTTAACACCAACAAAGTAAAAAAAAAAAAAAACCTTTCTAACACAAACGCACCTGGATACTGAGAACCGTCAGACTGTGCAATCCATCAAGGTTCTGTAGCTGAGAGATTTTATTCGTGCCGAGGAACAAACTCTCCAAAGAAGTAAGAGAATCCAGATTCTCAATAACCTAAAATTTACATAACAACATAAGCATTTACATACATAAAATTCAAGCCAGGAAACACTAGAGCAAAGAAGAATATGTAACACAAAGAGCAGATTTGGATGTCTCACCCTGATGCGGTTAGAGCCCAGCTCCAGCATCTGGAGGCTCGTCAGTTGATCGAGGCTGGCAATGCTCATAATCTTATTATGAAGCAGGAAGAGTTTCGTGATTTTTGTGAGACACTCCAATCCCTCAATCTTCCTCAGTAAATTGAACGATACATCTAGCTGCCTGCAAATCACAACCACAAATGAGGAAGCTGCATGTATTTGTACTTTTTCAATTCTTTAAGTACAAGAGACGATATAACATTTTTAGAATTCTTAGTATTCATGTTGGTTTTGTAAAACTTTTTTTTTTTAATCTTTCAGGATTTTTATTTGTTTAACAAAGCTTTTTTTCCCCTCACATCTGTGTCCCCAAAAAATATCACAAGGAATCTGAATACAAGAATTAAAAACATGCTTATCATAAAAGCAGTTTATTCACTCTAAGTCACTGTATGTACACTACTGCTCATATGTTTGGGGTCAGTAGTATCTTGCTTACCAAGGTTGCATTTACTTGATTAAAAATACAGTAAAAACAGTATAATGGTGAAATATTATTACAATTAAAAAGAACTCTTTTCCATTTTGAAATGTCATTTCTTCCTTTGATGGCAAAGCTGAATTTTCTGCACCTGTTACTCCAGTTTTCTTTAATTCAGAAATCATTGCAATATGATGATTTGGTGCTCAAGAAACATTTATTCTTATCAATGTTGAAACAGTGCTGGCTAATATTTTTGTGGAAACCGTGACTTTTTTTTTTTTCGGATTCTTTGATTAAAAGAAAGTTACTTTTGATAAATGTAATGCATTAGTATTAAAATGATAAAAAATCAAATAAAATACTGATCGACTTACTCAAGCTCTGTTAGGGCCTGAAGATTCTCTAGTTTGCGGATCTGGTTGTCATAAAGATCGAGTTCCCTCAACGAGACAAGGCTGTCCAAGTTCTCAATGCATTTGATGAGGTTTTGCCTTAGAGAAATTGTCTGATGGTAGAAACAAAGAAAATGACTCAATTTAAGATCTGTAATTGGGCATAATTAATTGATACTCCAAATAAGCAACTCTATCCAGTTACTATAACCCTACTACATTACCTAAAAAAACCACCAGCATTTGATACTCTCACCTTTGCCTTGCGAAGAACCTCCAGACCCTCAATCTTCCCAATGCGGCAGTGGACCAGATCCACATCCTAAATAAATAATCAAGACACAGTGAATCATAGTGCTAATAACATAATCTGTCTAACCTCTCAAAATCTGAACGTCTTTCTCATCACCTCTTCATCTGGGTCTAAGGTTATGGTGTCCATGTCAACCGGTGACTCCTTGGGTACTAAAAAGGAAAGTGAGAGAAGCGGTAAGGAAACCGATCATAAAGATCATCGTTTTAATTGTTTCCCCTCACGCCAAAATGGTCTCACCAGTCGAGGGGGCTTGCAGGGAGTCGACCTCTCCATTGAGACTCTTCCTCTTGGTCTCATCATCACCAGATTCCTCAGACTCACCCCTCCTGTCAACTTTAAATCACAGTTTTTATGAATAACAATGACACACCCACAGTACTAACCTGCTTACAAAATGTCACTGCTGTTATCTGGGCCAAATAATCGTGATAGCACGTACTTTAATATGAAAGCACGATTTCAAATCCCCATCCATTAAAGCGGTCATATGCTGCGATTTCAAGTTTTCATTTCTCTTTGGAGTGTTACAAGCTCTTGGTGCATAAAGAAGATCTGTAAAGTTGCAAAGACTAAAGTCTCAAATCCAAAGAGATATTCTTTATAAACGTTAAGAGTTGTCCTAGAATCCTTTACATATATAATTAATGCTTCCTTATTCGGTTCAGCATTTTATTGAAAGACTTTATTCACTTTGCACTGTTATTTGATTACATTGTTCGGCAGACTCAGTTATAAGACACAGGGAGCCCCAGCACTTTCATTAAAACATTACTTTAACAATTTTTTGACCCATGCATTTTACAATGTTTATCAGGTCATTGACCCCAGAATGAAAACCATTGCTTTATTTGCATGACAATGCATACAATCTGAACCTGAACATTTATTAAAACAACTAATTTCACATACTGACATGAAACATGGCACAATGTTAAGAGTTTTTTGACAATCTATTAATACATTTATCTTTACAAATATTCTCTGTCGATTCTTTCTTTAAGATCCTGATAAAAGCCTAGGATGTCATACAGTTTCACAGTTACTCATTTTTACTACAGTTGAATGTATGCTATTATTAGCCACTGCTGATAGTATGATGTGGCAAACGGTGACACTGCTAATGTTTTGCATACAAACAAGTATAGCAGGTTGGATGCATAAAGCCAAAAAAAAAAAAAATGCATTACGAAATATAGTACTTCAGGTACATGTTTGCAGCATTCTCTTTGTATTCTGATGTACATTTGATAAAAAAAAAACAATAAAAAAAAAACAATGCCAAGACTATACATGCAATTAGAAAATATCAACTAAAATTACAACAACATTAATGAATGCTTGTATAAATTACCATACATGCAATGAATGTGTTAACTCGGAGTATGATAAAAAAAAAAAAAAAGCCATAAGTTTCACTTACTCCCATCTATGTAAACAACACTAGTTACATATAATTACAATACTCCTTTAGGGTGAGATGTCATCCTTTGGGAGATGAGTAACTGTACAAAATAAAATTAATTTGTTCATATTAAAAAAAAAAAAAAACAGTATTTGGTTAAAGGCACTGATTGATTTTGAGTGCCTAATGACTAAATTATTGATTGGCAAAATCATAATAATACATCTGTCTTATTCTGAAGTAAGAGTTGTGCTGCAGCCTGTCACCTCATCATCATAATTCCACTGGATTCACAACTAGGTGACTTGGATTTACACAAACAAGCTGTAAATCTGTTAAATCCCTCATGATTTGGCAAAACTGTAACTAACAGTTGATATGTGAGTTTCCAAGTCCAGATTGGAAACCATACTGTTCAAGCGTTTTCTCAGTGTGAGAGAGAATTGCCCTAAACCCGTTCACATGAACATGGAGTTTACAGAATCAACTTGTATTATGGTAAATCAGGGCTGGCTGTACCAGTGCATAGAGCGCTGAAGAGCCCTCTCCCAGCTCTGCAGTACACCTCTGTATGGACTGCCCTTGTCCCAATCTGCTTTACTCCTCCGGGGAAGGAAATGTTGGTCAGTGGTCAAAAGCTTCTTCAGCTCTTCTTGGTTCCTCCAGTAGCCTAAAGGACGATTTAGAATAAAATGGCCAGATTAACCCTTTAAAGCCTGACATTTGAAATACATCTTTTTTTTTATGTTTTATTGAACCTTTAGGTAAAAATTAGGAAGGAAAAAAAAGCTTGCATGGGTTTCATTGCATATCATATTTGGTGCATCAGTATAGCAGCAGTATAGCAGACTACTTGCATAAAATGCATATAAATAAATACCAGTTGTCACTCAATATGTCTTCGTAAGATGATAATTAAATGCTTAGTTTTATGATCAAAGCTATGTAGATTTTATTGTGAGGGGGCAAAATATATAATGCAATGCAATACAATGATGATGGAGAGATGTACAAATAAACTTTCCTCAAAAGTCTGAAGTATCATGTTGTATCAAGAATTTTTCCTAAAAGTTATGTATGGATAATAATAAGTAAACCAGTAAGTGTTTGTCTTGAAATATTACTAACAATATGAAAGACATTCTTACATTTACTTCATAAAAATCAGTAAAGATTTTACAGCAAAAGACATGTGTACCATGCTTTTAAAATGATACTAAAAGGCCTTGCTAAACAAGCATAAACTATCAATCAGACAACACAAGGCGTGTAGTAGATAAGTTCTGGTCATGTTGATTATTTAGGGACCTTAGAAAGGTGTGTACCAATTATGATACAATGTAGGCTTTATAGAGTTAAGATGGATTAAGCCTAGATTAGGAAGAGTTATTTTTTGCACTCTAATGTGACTTGTTCCTTACCTGTTCCTAGTCCTGCAACAAAAGCAGCTCCAAGGCAGGACATGTCAAAGTGGCTTGGACGTTCTATCTTACGCCCCAACAGATCAGCTGTGAGTTGCATGATGAAATTATTGGTGCAAACACCTCCATCTGCCCTGTAAATGTGTAGCAATATGCAAACGTTCAGACAGGATCAAGCTATGCAAATATGACAAAATAACAGGGCGAGACCCTCACCTGATTTTAGTGATAGGAATACGGGTTTCTCTAAGCATGACTTCAAAGAGCTGCTTGTTCCTGAAAATCAGAATTAGAACATACAAACCCATATTAAACCGCTAACTTGTTTAAATAAAAATTTAAAAACTTGTATTTTCTCATGAGATGGGGTTGGAAAAGTCAATATATTTTTTGCATTATAATGTACAGTATGAAAAATGGATATTCATTTTGAGATTTGCTGAAGATTACATTTAACAATGTTCTAAAAACAATAATCTAAGTGAGACAACAATCCAAAAATCGATCGATATAAAAAAAAAGAAAAAGAAAAAAGAAATCCAGGATAACCTATGTATCGTGCATCTCTAGTTATGACATACATTTAAAGTTCAAACATAAAGGAACAGAAAAAATTCCACATGTGTGTGCGTGTATATGTATAGGGTCCAATCTCAAATTTAGTGGATGTCTGTTTCCATTACAAGAGTAGATATTAAAAAGTATGATGAGCAAAGATACCATCTGAGGAGTGCCGTAGGAACAAAAGGACACAAGAAAAAAAACTATGCTGCGCTATTGAATTCAGCCTTTATTTCTCTGATGGGGAAAACTGTTGAAAGAGCAAGCAAGTTGAAATGGATCTTTATTAATATGCGAGGCCTGATGAACTACTCTAGATTGGTATAGAACACCAAGGGTTTAGTGGTTTGTATCCAGTCACCTTCTCATTTCTGTTTTCTGATTGTGCAGTGGCAGAACCAAGGCAGATGATAATCAAATAACTCATTTTTACATTAATAACAATATGTGAGAAAGAGATAGAGAAAGCAAAGCATCATCATGGGTCTCAAAATGTGCCAACATGCTTTATATCTCATGTGACATTTTCATCCCTGCGAACACTGTTTGAGATGAAGTGGCCTAAGAATTTGCAGGTTTTCTGGGAATAAACTTGGTCTTTTCTATAAATTTCATAGTGTGACCATTGCCTGCAGTAAAAAAAAAAAAAAGAGAAAAAGCCTGTAGTGATGGTTTAGCATTAGTTGTGCATTAATTGTGGAGAATTCCTTTTTTAGTTTATCAATAAATCTTAATAAATAAAGAGTGTTAAATACTAAGCTAAATTCTACAAACAGGACTGGATATGCCAGTTGAGGACAAAGTCTATATTCAAGTGAAGAAATGTGTGTAGGCTTGTAAATGCACATTGTCCTGCAGCGTTCTGATGCTCAAATATTTTCATTTCCACCTGTGTTAATCATTTATTTAGGTTATCTTGCGTTTTATCTGAACAAGAACAATAACAGATGATTTGAAGCAATCCAGCACTATGTATATGAGAACTGCTTGATTAATTTGGCTTGCACAGTGTTTTAATATCACAAATTCACTTTTGTTTTTATTAGGGGCTGAGATTTGCCCATTTTTCCCAAAGCCCTGGTTAATTTTTCATTTCGACACAAACAGTCCCTTCTGATGTTTTATAGTTTTAACAGATCACATTCTTTGACTGATGAGAGATCTTATGTTGATACAGTCAGATCTTTCGAGCTCACCTGAACGCTATAGACTCCAGAATGGCTCGGACTAGATGTCTCTTGCTTGTGGATGGTTTTAAGCCCATGAGAGAGGCACAAGCTTTAGGATCATTCAGAGGGGCCTGTAGCACATAAAGAGAGAACGTCTTGAAATTACATGACACTGTTTAAAAATCTCTCGTATTTACAACAAATCCTTGAGATGAACAGCGACTTAAACAGTATCACGGATGCACACACACACAAACACACCTGTAAGCCGCTGAAAGAAGGCACAAAATACACACCGTCCGAGTCGTCCACACTAGTGGCTATGGCCTCAGTCTCCGTCACATCAGAAAAGAGCTCTGTAAGACAGGCACCAAAGAAATCACGCTACAATAATATAATTATTTTTCATTCATTTAATCAATCCAAATTAAAAAAATTCTCATAACGGAGTGGAACATGCATCTACTATCTGGAATGGTTTTTTGTTTTTATGTAGTGAAAAATACATATTCAAGTTAAGAAATGTGTGTAGGCTTGTAAATGCACATTAGTCCGCCTCCTCACCTAGATCCTGGGCCCATTTAATGGCAGCACCTGTTCCAGCGGCATTACCTTCAGCCAGATACACAACATCAGCACCGATCTTCCAGCCCACCAGTGGATAAAGGCCTATTCAGAAAACAGATGATACGGAACGCCATGAAAAGAGAGATATAAAGAGGGACCAACAAATGGACGCATTACTATCTCGCCACACTAATTCATGATGAGTAATGAGCCGCATCGTGCCCTAACCTGCTGTTTCCAGTGATGTACACTACCGTTCAAAGGTTTGAGGTTGGAAAGTGATTTTTAATGTTTATGAGAGAAGTCTCTTATGTTCACTGAGGCTGCATTTATTTGATCAAAAATATAGTAAAAACAGTAATATTGTGAAATCTTATGACAATTTAAACGAAGCGTTTTCTATTTTAATATATTTAAAAAAGTAATTTATTCCTGTGATAACAAAGCTGAATTTTCAGCATCATTACTCCAGTCTTCAGTAGGGCTGTCAAAAAAAAATTTGAATTTCGAATATTCGTCGAATTTAAAATAAAAATCCACATTCGAATGCAAAAACGTTGCATTCGAATTTTAGGTGTGCGTTAAGGAGGCAGCCTTATCAGTGGCGCACGAGATGCGATGACGATATAAGCGTCATTGCATTTTAATGTTTTTGTTAACCTATCCAGTTGAAGCCACTAGATGCTAAGTGCTGTTGCATTGTTAATTACAAATATTATGGGAAAAGAGAACATCAATGCGGAGATCTTGTTTACGTCAAAACTGAAACCAAGCCGTTCACACAGAACGCATATTTCGCGATTTCGCATTTTCTAGAGGGACGTCTATTACCGTTGCACTCGCATCTCGCACAAAGGAGCCGCATATTTAGAAAGCCATGTAAAACACCCTAACTGAAATTATGCATTTTAAATTCGAATATAATTT